TGTAGCTTCACAAGCGCGAGGCAGTGCTTGTATGTGAGTTGAGTGAGGGTGAGGAGGAGGAGGAGTTGTGAAAGGCTTTTCGTTTAATGTTTAGTCAGCGTCGAGCGCCAATCAGGGCATACAAATACGTGGCGATCCACTGCAAGAGGCTCTCTCCCGAATTCATGCGGACAGTGAAGCGCTGACCTCACCTCCGCTTCCCACCGGTTGTGAGCGTGAGATCTGTGACCGTCCCACTGCCACCGCCAACACAGCTTTGGTGCGTTGTATGGCGTTTGGACCACCTCTACATCATCGGCTTCGGCCCCCTGCTGTTGGCAGCACTACGTCCTCCGCTGCTGCTAGCATAGAGACGCCACAGTTGTTGGGCAGCTTCTTTGCTGCCACTGCTGGCGGTGCTGCCTTTGTTTTTGCACTGTTCGCGGACAACGTGCGACGGCCATCGCACCTGGCCTCGCGACAAGCTACTCATATTCAATTGCAGCATCGAGCACCTATCGTGGCACTTCGTCTCATCGATACCAAAACCCACTGCCCTCTATTGACCTCCTGTGAGTCTGTATTCATCCTCTTCCTCCTCCTCCTCCTGCTCTTCCTCTTTCTTTTCCCTTCACAACTTTCACACTTTAAGGGAATTCACATAGACTTCATCGACTAGTTAATTTATAAGAGGTAATCGCAATACTTCTCTCTTTCAACGAACTACTTTTATCCCCACTCCTCTTATTTCTCTCACATGATCTCACTTCTCCAATCACTGTTTCGATGATAGGAGAATAAGACGTGGGGTAGTCAAGACACCGCTAGCTATGATGGGAAGTGACAGTGCTTTCTCTTTCATACAACATACTGCTGTATGTTTTCTTCTACCCAAGAAGACGCAAGCGGATCGAGTGCTCTCTTGCTCTCTTCGAGAATCGTCAGTGTAGTGTGCAGACAATCAGTTGTGCAATATTTCATTGCGAGCACATTAAAGTCGAGTGTGGATATCTCTCGTAAACACTGAGATGTCCTTAACTATGCGCTTTCTCTCCGAAGTCATTTCGACCTTCTATCGACCTTTAAGCCAAATTTGTCTACCTGTCGTGGAAACAGTGCGAAAGAAAATTTACTCTGTATGCCTTTACTGTGTGCACAGTCCATCGTTTATTAATTTACACAATCTTTTAACCACATCTGAAATTTGTAATCAAGGAACAAATTGACAGTGTCGTAGGATCCGCCATAGGGCCAAGTGATAAAGAGGCATTTTTTGGGCACATTTCAGCCATCTACTTGCCCCCGTTTTGCTGTCCTCTGTTGTCGCCCCATCACCAGCCTCCGCCTCCACATTTAATGGTGATCAGTGAGGAGCAAGTGCGCTTGTTTGCTCTCCCTTCCATCTCCTTGCGACAGAAAGCACGCATCACCGCAAAGGACGGCTTTCGCATCAAAGCCGGCAACATCATTGCCTTTGGACAGTTTTCTAGTATGCAATTTTTTCTCCCTCATCACCTTTTTAAATCATACATCGTATGGCAGAACGCCTCACTTGTTGTTGAGTAGCATGGTAGCGCATTACTTTGGGTTAGGAAAATTAATAGTTATTTACGCTGTCCGGATTCTGCCAGGTTTTTTTCTTGTATTAGTCGTTTTATGTAGCATTTTGTTATAGCTGTTCAGTGATCGGTGAGACGGTAACGGAAATTACCCAACTGAAGGGTACACAACTGACTTAAGATTTTCGCACAAGATTTCATTAAATTACACATTATATTGCGATCATTTCCTTGAATGTCAACTTTACTTTGTAAGAAGTGTGCTGCGCTGCTAAACACCATCCCTTAGTGTAGAGTGCGTTGTCGTGCCTTTTACTGTGGAACTGTAAAAGTCTTCTCACGTGCTCAGGGCTACTGAAGTCTAAACTTAATACCTACTTATGAGTTAGTAAGTACAATCTCGTGTTTAGATGAACCCAACATGGGGATCTATGGGATTGAGTTCAACTGTGTCTTCATCAACAACGGCGGTCAAGCGGTGGTACTTTCAGTACCTTATTTACGTCGACGAGACACCATTGCCCTTTTGGGAGGAGGCGATGTGTTGGAAATCAACTCAGTCGCCTTCGCTACTGCCGGCTCCACTCGACCCAAGGTGATAGGAGCACCCAGTTTGGGCCTCTACCAAACGGCGCCCGGACAGGTATTATCTCTTGATCACAACTCCAGAGTTTGGTTAATTGGTCACAGAGTAGGAATGGGAAACTCGCAGGATCGCTTTAACAATTTTAGTTGGCCATGTTTGATGTACTACTGGCAAGCCAAAGAAGCTCAGCCCTCGGAACTGCCTATCAAGCGGTGGGTCTGACAAAAGTTGCAAAACACAACACTCCCAGTCCTTCTTCTCGTCTGCAACACAGATTAGTTAAACCTCCCACCAACGCAGACACTCCAAATGTTTGTATGGATTTCGTATCGACTTCGGAAAATGCAGGGTTCGTGCAATCTCGACATTTATGTTCTAGACTGTTATTCACTCACTCACTAACCGAGTTACATTTCCTTTTTTATTCGCTCTCGTCAACAGCACTGATGTGTGCGGGTCTTTAGACGCGTTTTTTTACTGCGTCAACCATTTTCACCTTAGTCTGCTAATTCACGCTCTTTTTGGTTATTTTTTTCCTCTCAAAATTATTGCTCATCTATTCTCTGTTTTTGATTGGTGACGGATTTTTTGGGTGGTAAATTCGTAGACATCCTTCAACGTGGATATTTTTATTGCATTGCAGAACAAATGTGAATGGAGGATTTTGAGTGGAGCCTTTCAGTAGTTCGTACAGAGTAAAGGAACTTTCGCTGCGCTTTCTTTTCAATATTATACTTTTTCCACATAATGCACCTAAATCAAGT